CCGCCGTCTGCCTCAGCGAGAAGAGCTACCGCGAGCAAGCCAAGGCTGGTGAGTGACCCCGCTCCTCCATTCGCAGCCTTCCTGGATGCTTCTCCGCCTTGCCGGCCCCTTTTCCATCTCTCCACCGGCTTTTTGCACCCCACCGCCAGCTCCTGGCTGCGTTTTCCCTCGTTCCGGGTGCTCTTCCATGACCCTCCGCTTGCCTTTCCGTCTTTCCGGCTCCCTTTCCATCTTTCCGCTTGCTTTTCTGCTCCCTCCCACTGGCTGCTCTTCCCTGCCCCCGCGGTTGCTTTCTCATCCCGCCGGCTGCTTTTCCATCTTCCCAGGTGCTCTTCGATGCCCCCGCTAGCTTTTCTGCCTTCCGGGTTACTTTTTCATCTTTTCTCCCGCTTTTCCATCCACGCCCTCCCCCCCTGCGCTTCCAGCCCCCTCCCCCGTCGTGTGCTTTTCTGCCTTCCCGGCTCCTCCATTCCCCTCCACCACCACCAGCTGCTTTTCCATCTTTCTGGCTACTTTTCTGTCTTTCTGCCTGAGTTTTCTCTTTCACACACACATTTACACACCCTGGCTGCTGTTCCATCTTTCTAGCTATTTTCCCATTCCTTCCCCTTCCTATCCCCTCCACCAGCAGCTCTTCCAAGCCCCCGGTTGCTTTTCCATCTTTTCCATCTGCTTCTCCACCACCACCACCACTTCCCCTGGCTGCTCTTCCACCCCCCCTATTGCTTTTCCACTTTTCCAGCTACTTTTACATCTTTCTAGTTGTTCTTACACACATGCAGTTGCTTTTCCATCTTTGTAGGTACTCTTCCATCCCCCCAACTGTTCTTCCATGCCCCTTGCCACTTTTCCTATCCTTCTTTCCATCCATGCTCTGGTCAAACCTCCTGTTGCATCATCTCACAGCCTCCCCCATTCTGCCTTCTATCATCACCTCTGAGTTGTCCCATCCCAATGGAAAGCTTTTCTTCCCCCACTTCCCAGATGCACCCTCTTAGTCACAGCTGCATCCCAGTCCTTCCTTAGTTACATCCTTTACATCTTTCCTGAATCCCTGTCTTCACCCTCTTCCTGACCCCTTTCTCTCACCATATCTTCCACCTTGCTCTAGAGTCCGAGCTGACCTCTGCAACTTGAAGTATAGGAGAGGGCAGGGCACCTCCTTGCAACCAACTGCCCCGTTCCCAAAGTCCTCAGCCACCTGTGGGTTTGTTGCTCAGCCTCCCACTTTCTCCTTGGGATCATTGCAGCCTGCTCTTCCTGGCTGCCTGCTGCTGGACGTCTTTGTTGGGTGATGGGTTTTAGCCCAGGCAGGTGAAGAGAGCAGGTGCATTAGGGACAGGGTATGTGATTGCAAAAAATAATGATGGTGTGGCTAATAACCCAAAGGAACAGGTTAAAAGCAAGCATGAAGGCAGGCATGGCAGCATGAGTGCAAGGCCAAGCTTTTGAAGTGTTTGCCTCTTGCACGTGACAAAAGCATGAAAGAAAGCACTCCTTCACTTTGGCTCTCATTTCACTCCAATTTCTGGATCCTCTAGCTCATGTGAGGAGGACACATTCCCTATATTCCTCCAAATACATCTGTATTTGCCACAGTGTAAAAGAGAGGCAGAGAGGGTGTCTGTGCGTCTGGGGGACCACTTGGCAAAAAACTCCCAGAAACAAACCCCTCACTTTTTTTGGAGCATGAAAAAGTAATTTCTACTTGTTAGCAAGCTTCTGCTTATACCCACGCAATGGGATTCCGTTTCTCCTTTCTAACACCTAGTAAATCTTGATGCTTTTATTATTTTTCCCCTTTGCTGCTTGCAGGCAGTAGTTGGGTTGCTACACTCCATCCTTCAGAGCAAAACTAAATTCTGTGTGTATAACTTCCCCCCTCCTTTGAATGACATCAGATGTCCAAACTCCCTTAAATCAGCCAGAAACAGCAAAGCTGAGCTTGGTTTTTTGAAGGGAGCTGGAAGGGATGAGGGTTGGGAGCAGACCTGCACAGGGAGCAGAGGGTAAAGCCAGGAGCCATGTTCCTGCCGTGGAGCCCAGGAAGCTGGGCAATAACCGCTGGTAGCGGAGATATGTGAAGTATCCTGGAGCACATCATCCCAGTGTTTATTTACTTTTCATGTGTATGTGCGTGGCCAGGGGCAGGCAATGTGGTGGGGGAAGGCAAAGCCATGCCACTGAAATCCAGCAGTGGCTGGGAGAGCAGGGCCCATCCTTGCACCTATGCAAGGGTGCCCCACACAGACCAAGGCACCTGAGAAAGCTTTGGTGCTTGGCTCTCAACATGAATCTCCTTTCATTCCACCTGCCTTGCACTTCTCAAAGGTGCTCTGCCTGAAGACTTCAGCCAATTCCCTTGTAATACCACTGCTTTTGATTTTCTTGCGATGGGGAGCACCCATTGAGTGAACAAGGAGAGGGATAGGAAAGTGGTTGCAGGTTTGTTTTGCAAAACCAACCCCCTGGCACTACCTGCACTTCCAGTTTGGACTCCCCAAGCGCTGCAGGGGCCTCTTTTCGGCAGGTTTTGTTCGCAGGCAGGAGATGAGCCTGGATTGGAAAGGCTGCTGCAAGAAGCCACAGGAGACCAGCAGGCTCCTCTTGAGATTTGTGCGATTGCAAAAAAGAAATAAAAAATAAATCAGGAATTCCTGAGGACGGGAGAGGGGAAAAAAGTCATTTGGCATTCGACTGGTAGCGTGTGAGAACAAAGTATATTTTCATAGGCGTGTTTCTAAGCAACAGGGCAAGAAAAGAAATGAAGTTTAACTTGAACTTTCTGGCCTCTGCCAGTTTGGCCAGCAGCTTAGGGACTGTGTGCTGGGGATGCTGGCCTGGCCCTCCCATCTATCAATGACCAAAATTGGCCCTGAGCTGTGAACTGCTGAGAAAGAATCAGCACTCTGCAAAATAAACTATGTGACAGTGGCGAGGACTAGATCAAACTGCCTTTCTATCTATTTGTGCCCTTACGCTGGCCAAGTTTAAAATTGCAGATGCTTTCCTCCTTACGGAGGTGGAGATGCATCGAGCAGTACTGCAAGAGCCCAAGTCTGGGAGGCTGGGCTTGGCTCTCCTCTAGAGCAGATGTCTTGCCTGGGGATAAGATGCTCGCAGGTACCGGTGCCTCAGTTTCCTCATACATATGCTGAGCACAGTGCCACTGAGAAATGCTGGAGGTACTGAGCAGAATGTGCTCCTGGTTTATTGAGAGGTCTGGAATGAAAGCAGGTGTGGGATTAGAGGGCTTTGGTAAGGTTAATTTTAAGTAGATGGATACGTAGGTATGGACAGGACGGTCCCTGTAGTGCTTCCTGCCACAAGTCAGACACTGTCCTGTACTGAAAGCCAAACATCACGGCTGTAATTGACTGTTCCTGGTAAAAAAACATGAATGAGCTTCATTTATGGCACAGGCTACAGGATTCTGGGTTTTCTCTGTTTTGTTTAGTTTTCCTTTGAAATATACCACGTCTTTCCATTTTTCTCCCCTGTGCTCCCGCCAGACTTCCTCCTGCTGAGACAGCAAGGTCAGGCCGAGCATCGGGGAGTGGAGGGCACAGACTGAAGCCTGCTGCCCTAAAAAGGCTCGTGGAAAAACAAAGGTTGTCAAATATTTCCTTCTCCTCTCTCATTCCTGCTCTCTTTCTAGAAAGTGAGCAAGACTTGGCAAGTTTCCTCACGAAACCATGAGCCAACGATAACCAGGAGGGGAAAGGGGGGGGGGTTTGCAGAATTGGCCCTAAGAAAATCATCTTTGCTGTGTCAGCTGGAAGTAGGCGGAGAAGGAGCGCTGCCGAGCCCAAATTTCCTGCGGCTTGTGTTCGGTGCGGTCCTTTATTGCTCCCCAAAATATTCCCTCACCACCCCATTCCTCCTTCCCATGCTCTTCTGCTCTACATTTGGGGATGTGGGGCTTCAGGGGTGAGTGATGGGGATGTGGTGAGGCAGATGGGCAGCTCCACACACTCCTCACGTCCAGGGTGAGGGTGAGGGTTAGGGCAGCAGTCATTGGAACAGGCCATGGGACCCGCTGGCTTGTGCACATGTGTCACTTGGAGAGGGACCTGGCTGGTGTGAGCAGCAGGTCCTTTGTGTGAAGCAGCTCCCGAAATGTCAAGGTGAAAGCTAGTATCAACAGGCCTGCAAAACCTCAGATACGAAACAGGAAAATCTCCATTTTTCTTTTGATCTGGAGTTCCAACAACAATATATTAAAAAAAAAATAGGTGAAATCCATCAGGTGCCAGCAAGTGAGTCAGGTTTCTGCGGTGTGTGTGTGTATGGGGGAGGGAGGAATGGGGTGGTTCAAACAGGAAAGGAGGGGCCTTGGCTGGAAGGATTTTTCAGCAGCCTGGTTTCTAAGGAAGGAGGGAGAATATTAAGTAGTTGATCCAAATGAAATTCCTGCCGAGTGCCAGCAGAGTTCACCGGAGAAAAGACGTGGCTCTGTGCTTGCGTGCGTGCACGCGTGCGTGCCTGAGAGATAGAGCTGGCCCCAAGCTTCCACACAGCCCTGGACTCGCTCCAGGTGAGTGAAGGGAGCCCCTCCAGAGCTTGCACCACTGCAGAAGTGTTACGACCCGCCCCAGAAAAAGGGGAGGAGGGTAACCCAGGTTCTTATCAATAATTCCCTTGGGGTGGATTAGAGTGAAACGACACTGAATAATCGGTGTCTGAAAACATATATTGGTAAGGTTTATTTTAACAATTCTGTATAACCAGGTATGCTAGCATTTTGGGTGTTGTCATATAACAACGTGGCATAGAGATAACCTTTGTGGGGGGAGAAAATGCATAGGGGAGAGAAAGACAGGATAAGAGTAAGGGAGAGTAAGGAAAAAGAAAAGCTGAGAGTGGACAGATGTATATAGTCACCACCCACAGGGTCCAGCGATGACACTTGGTAGTTGCCACTTCCATGTCTGTCAGTTGAAGTGGTGGCCTTGATCTGCTGGGGGTGAAGGAGGGGAGCCCCCACACCCCAAGAAGTTATGAGTTGTTATATCCATGGTTAGTGTCACGGGCCATGCCTCAAGCCT